TGAAGAGCTGAGGGACAGCGCCCAGACCCAGAGTTCAGGCCCCATGACTGGAACCAAAAAAAAAAAGAAAAAGCTGGAAGTGGCGCTGTGGTTCAAGTGGTAGAGCGCTAGCCTTGAGGTGAAGAGCTGATGGACAGCGCCCAGGCCCAGAGTTTAAACCCCACAACCGGACCCCCCCACCCAAAAAAATAAATAAAATAAAATAACATCAATTCAACAGTAATCCACATTAACAGATTTTAGAGGCCTTTTACTTTTCTGTTGGTGCTAAGTGCACCAGTGCAGCCCTCTCCCAGTTCCCAGTGCCCACCACCCGCTTGCTCTCTGGGCAAAGGGCAGCTCCCACGAAGCCTCTGCCACTGTTGGCAGTGAGGGGCTGGCACTGCAGTACAGGAGGGGAAGCATGGGGTGGCACAAGAAGCAAATACTAGGGCACAGCACTAGAGCAGTCAGGGTCACCTGTTGCGGAGCCAATGCCATGCTGTTCCAGGCAGCAGCCAGGTGTGGGAGGGACATGTCCCCTGACAGGCAGCAGGACGCCACCACCATATGCTGGGACCATGCCCTCCCTGCCCAATCACCCTGCACCCCAAGCCTGACAATGCTGCTGTTGTCTCTCAGCATACATATCCCCCTGACCTTGGCCTCCTCACACCTGGGACTCCATGTACTGCTTTTCTATGTGACCTCCTTAGGTCAGGGACGTGTCGTTCTCTGTAAGCCTGGCACCTAGTGTCCTTGGTCGTGCAATTATAAATGAGATGTCCACTAATTGGGCATTTCTGTGCAAAAGGGCAATTCTAAGAAACACCAACCACTGGGTGTAACACGGAATCCAGCCACTAGTTAAAAGACCCACTATGGGAGCAGTAATTCCATGCCCTCAAGCAAGCCATGGAGCAAAGAGTGGGCCCGAGCTGGACTCTCAGCCTTCTTCTCTTCTGGACACCCAGCACATGCCTGAAAAAAGCAAGAAGGAACAAAGGTCCAATGCCCAGCTGGAGTTGGCACCCAGTACCCTCCTTGCCTCTTGTCTGTGCAGACTGCAGCTGAGTTTCCATCTAGGACAAGGAGCAGACGGGGTACCTAGACTCTGCCCAGCCAGGTCACCTGCTCTTCCTAAGACTGGGAAAGTGAATTTCTGAGCAAGGGACAGCACCTTGCATCCCAAGCAGGCTTTGCCCTTTCTCACCTCGCCACTGCTGATGCTTCCAGAAATCCAGACCCAGAAGCAGAATGCAGTAAAAGGAACTGACGCACTAGCCAAGAAGACATCCTGCAGAAACACTGCCACCCTGGAGCCCAGCCATGCAATCCATGGCACTGGCCAGCAGGAAGTTCCTCTCTTCTCTCTGGGGTTTGCGCTTGAAGCCTCATGCTTGCTAGGCACATGAGCCATGGATTCTTTTTCTTTTTTCCTTTTTTTTTTGGGGGGGGGGTCCGGTCATGGGGCCTGAATTCTGGGCCTGGGTGCTGTCCCTCAGCTCTTCAGCTCAAGGCTAGCGCTCTACCACTTGAGCCACAGCACCACTTCCGGCTTTTTTTCTTTTTGCTTATGTGGTGCTGGGGAATCGAATCCAGGGCCTCATGCATGCAAGGCAAGCGCTCTACCACTGAGCCACCTTCTCAGCCGAGCCATGGATTCTTAAGCCATGCCTCTACCCCTTTCTGTTTATTATTTTTAGGATAAGAGCCTATGTTTTTGTTCAGGCTAACCTAGACCTTAATCCTATATATACTTCCTACATCTGAAATGACAGGTGTGCACTACCCTGCTATTGGTTGAGATAGGATCTCAGAAGTTTCTGTTCAGGCTGGTTGTGAACCACAATCCTCTCAATCTTGACTCCTAAGTAGCTGGGATTAGATGTAAGCCACCATACTTGGCTCTACTCTTCACCTCAGATTGAATCCTGATTCCTAGTGAACTGTCTCCCTGCCTTCTACCAACACGAGCAGGTGCTGCTGCACCTCCAATATGGCTTATTGTTTCTTCCACCCTTTCCCACCTGCAGAAAGTATGTCCTCTTGCTCTCCAAGACACAGAGCACACTTGGTTGTAGGCCAAGGTGCTGAAGAGAAAGGCAGCAGTTCCCTCTGAAGCTGAGCAGTCAGACTTGCAGCAGCACTGTGACTTGCCACTTCAACCTTCACTTAGTAGTTCTCATGTTTACGCAGGGGAGGTTTCTATGTGGGGCTTGCAGGGACAGAGGAAGCACGGTGAAGGCAGCAGGCTGACACGGGCTGTGAGGGCAGGGCTGGCGGCCTTATCACCTTGGAATTTCCTGAGTGCCAATGCCAGCTCTCGTGTGCTCAGTACATTTTTGCTGAATGAGATCCTGAACCAAGACTCCCTGCCTTGACACTGGTGAGAGTACCTGCAGCAGCTGTGCAGCAAGCTACATGCAACACTCTCTCTCTACACTCTCTAACTCAACCCTGCCATAATCTTCGCCACCACCAGCTCCAAACTCACTCAAACCTCCAAAACCGCCAAGCTTTCTAAAACCAGGCCAGCAACTCTACTTCCTATGTTACCTAAGCGTAAACTATTCTCTTCCTTTGTCCTTGCAGATGTTATCACCGGGCAGAATTGCAGGGCAGTGACGCCCGAGAAGGCCAAGGTTCACCCAGGTGCTTATGACCCAAGAAAACACAGAAAGCCAGGTCTTTGTAGCTGCAGCAGCTTACGATCAGGGTTGGTATGAGTGCCTTCTCCGTCCCTTGGCCTGGGCTAGAGGGCAGTTTCTGCCTTGGATTACATTCCTCTTCTCAGGCCAGCTTGTTTCTGGGAAGACTCTGGTCGTACAGGTGGGTCATACAGGTCGTACAGGGCTCCGTGCCCTGAGCACACCTGTGCCGTTGGTATAGGTGGGTGGCCGTTAGCTTCCTAAGGTTGATACCCCCTAACCACTCTGGCATATTGTGTCTGCCCAAACTTAGGCTGTACCTTGAGCCTAGCCCTCAGTGCTGAAGACTGTTTCTGCCCCTTGAGGCTGTCTGGAGCCCAGTTGCTGAAAACTGTTTCTGCCCCTTGAGGCTGTCTGGAGCCCAGTGAAATGAACATGAGGCTGTCCATGGTGACTACGAGGCAAGTTGGAAGGACCTCAGGGTGTAACAGCTTTGACTCTGGCATGAAACTGGCTGTGCTAAGCAATGACAGAATTCCAAAGGGCAGACCAGCCTTTTCTGAAGACATGTGGCACCTGCACAACACATTAAAACTAGAAGGAAGTAATTATCAATGTGTGTGTCTTTGAGGAAGGAACGTAAGATTCAACTTACCACCTTTGCCGCTGCAAAATGGGTCAGTGGGTTGAGCCCATTCCCACTGTGGGGCAGCCATCACCACCCAACATACTTCCCTAACCTGTCACACTGAAACCACACTCAGGAGACAGACATCTTCTCTCTTCCTCCATCCTGGCCACTACCCTTTACTTTGTCTTTGGATCTGCCAGCTCAAGGTAACTCACATAAACAGAATTAGACAGTATCTGTCCTCCTGTGACAGGCTGGCTTCAATCTACATGATGTATGAAAGCTTCCACCAAGCTGCAGCTGCCAAACTCTCAAGAGGTTCTGCTCACATGTACAAACCCTAAGCTTTCTTTCCATTAGGACGCATGCTATATCCTGTTTGCCCATCCATGGGGAACAGCTGGGTAGTGTGCACATACTGGCCACCATGAACACAGGGGTGCAAGAATCTAATGATGGCCTGCTCTCCCTTCTCCACAAGTGAACTGCTCAATCATATAACAATTCTATTTTGCTTTTTTGAGGAATGATGAGGTTTTAAAAATGTTACTATTGAGGGAAAAATTGGGAGAGAGGAAAGGGGTGACACTGTCCAAAAAGAAATGTACTCTTTACCTGACTCAGGAAACTATAATATCTCTGTGTATCACCTTAATAATAACAATTTTAAAAAATTATCAAAAAAGAAAAAAATGTTACTATTGACCGCTGTCTCCACTCGTTGGTACACTGAAGTTAGAAGTAGCTATAGGGTCAGGCACTGGTGGTTCATACCTGTAATTCTAGCTATTCAGGAGGCTGAGATTTGAGAATCATCGTTCATAGCCAGTCATCCCCATACTGCCAAAGGAAGCTGGGGTGGGGGCGGGGGTGGGAAGGCAGGGATGAGAGCTGATGCTCAGACTTCTGGAGCAAACAGCTCCCAGAAAAACTTAAGAGGAGCCACAGAAAGTACATTTCCACATCACTTAATTCTGGGAGTTGTTCACATAATCTTCCCCCACCACAAAGTTTGCAAGTCCATCACATATAGGTTTGAAGATTTACTCTAAGTACCTGGATATTATGTAAATTTAAATCCAAGGTCTAAAAGTGTTGAAGGGAAATTTTGTTTTTGTTTTGTCAGTTGTGAGGCCTGAACTCTGGGCCTGGGTGCTGTCCCTTGGCTCTTCAGCTCAAGGCTAGCGCTCTATCACTTAAGCCACAGTGCCACTGCCAGCTTTTTCTGCTTATGTGGTGCTGAGGAATCAAACCCTGCGCCTCATGCATGCAAGGCAAGCACTCAACCACTGAGCCACCTTCCCAGCCCTGGAGGGTTTTTTTTGTTTTGTTTTGGTTTTTTGGTTGTGGGGCTTGAACTCTTGGCAAGGTGCTGTCCCTGAGCTCTTCAGCTCAAGGCAAGTGCTCTACCACTTGAGCTACAGAGCCATTTCTGTTTTTCTGGTGGTTAACGGGAGATAAGAGGCTATGGACTTTCCTGCCAGGGCTGGCGTTGAACTGCGATCCTAGATCTCAGCCTCTTGAGTAAAAGCCCATCAGTATTAAATGTGGAAATACATAGGACAATGAATCACCACAGAGTTGTCAGCTAATACAATTACCAAAGGGGCTGTGTAAACACAAAGCTCTTTAGATGAGGGTCCACCAGCAAGCAGTCCAAAATACACCAGCACTATCTATCTAAAACACCTGAACCGAAACCTTAAGGGCTTCTAGTTGAGTGCCTACTAAAATCTTACCAGGTCGCAGAATTCAAACACCAGAAGATAGGGGATTGCTTCTACACATTGTCCAGCACACTGAAGAACATTTGGATGCTGAAGAATACTAGCAAAAAGAGAAATTACAGCAATATTCATCAAGAAGCACACTATGAAAATTGTTCAAATAATAATTAAAATTTTAGCATTTGCAATGATTTAAATATAGCACGATAGATGAGTGAACTGACTCATTCCTAGCTACTTAAGAGGCAGAGATTAGGAGGATTGAGGTTTAAGACCAACCTGGGCAAAAAGTTCATAAGAAAAGCATGTCATCCCAGATACAGTAAGAAGCATAAATAGGTCCAGACGAGCCCCAGCAAAAAAGCCAAGACCTTATCTCAAAAATAATTAGAGCCCAAATGGCTGGAGGCATGGCTCAAGTGGCTCTCAAGTGACTGCCTAGCAAGCATGAAGCCCTGAAGCTCCTGTATATCCACCCCACCCCCTCTAATTATACTTAACAGATAAAAGACTTAGCTATGATTAAACAATCCAAAGGCATTTTAGCTGAGTATTTTCACAAGTTCTACCAAAAAAAGTTTCATAAAAATGTAAGAATCTTTAAGTTTAATAATGTATTTTGAGGCAGCATTTAAAAGAAGAGAGCTGGGCACCAGTGGCTCACACCTGTAATCCTAGCTACTAAGGAGGCTGAAATATGAGGATCATGGTTCAAAGCTAGCCTAGGCAGGAAAGTCCGTGAGACTCTTATCTCCAATAAACCACCAGAAAACCGGAAGTGTCACTGTTGCTCAAGTGGTAGAGCACTAGCCTTGAGCTGAAGAGCTGAGGGACAGTGCCCAGGCCCAGAGTTCAAGACTCATGACCAACAATAAATAAATGAGGAGAGGCAGGACTGGGAATGTGGCTTAGTGGTAGAGTGCTTGCCTCTAGCATGCATGAAGCCATAGGTTCGATTCCTCAGTACCACATAAACAGAAAAAGCCAGAAGTGACGCTGTGGCTCAAGTGGTAGAATGTTAGCCTTGAACAAAAGCAGCTCAGGGACAGTGACCAGGCCCTGAGTTCAACCCCAGGACTGGCAAAAAAAAAAAAAGAAAAGAGAAATTTATAAGACAAACACACAAATCAAGTAAGTGTATCAATCTAGATAGTATAAATAACTCAGTTTCTCAAAATTGTTTTAGTTATTGTAGTTCTTCAGTTTTGTAATAACTTTTTTTTTCCCTTTCTTTTGTTAAAAAAAATAATTTGCACATTGTCCTTACACTGAGAACATGCTAACCTTCCCTGTATTGTTCTGATTTTTAGCATAAACACTACCACACCAAGGTTTAAAATCATACTTCTATTTTTATATGAAATGAAGCAGCCTGTCAATCATAGACAAATCTCCCAATTCATGAATATGGTCATGAACATGGTATAGCTCTCCACTTATTAAGATCTTTGATTTTCTACAGCAGCTTTTTGTAGTTTTCAGCATACATGTCCTGGACATGTACCTAAATGTTTATTTTTTTCACTGTTGAGCAAGTATAAATTTTATTGTTTTCAATTTGGGTTTATGCATACTCATTGTTAATTTACAGGATTAATAGTAATTTAAAAAATTATGGTCGGAAGTGGCGCTGTGGTTCAAGCGGTAGAGCGCTTGCCTTGAGCTGAAGAGTACAAGGACAGCGCCCAAGCCCAGAGTTCAAGCCCCACGACCGACAAAAAAAAAAAAAAATTATGGTGCTTGGGGTTAAATCCAGGACTTCATGTATGTATGCTAGGCAAGCACCTGACCACAGAACTATACTCCCAACTCAAACTGACTTGTATGTTCATCTGTACCTCGCAACCTTGCTAAACTCACTTGTTTCTTCTATGAGACTTTTTGTTGATTCTTTAGGACTTTCTGCATAAAACTTCATGTAAAGGATACTTTTCTCCCTTTCTGATCTGCATGCCTTCATTTTCTCCCCAGCATCCAAGTTCTGTCAGGGGCACTGAGGTAAAAGGCACCAGTGAGGGTGCTTATCATGTTTCTGTAGAACTTCCTCAGCAAGTTGGAGTTGTATTTTTTGTTCTGTTGTTAGTGCTCTCAGATTTCTTCCTTCATCATTTCTTTTGCATTGAGAAAATTTGTCCTTCTTTTCCTTCATCTCTCCCTCCCCCCCCCCCCGCCCTCCTTGCTCTCTTTGTGAGACACATAGCCCAGTATGGCTAGGGCTATGTTTCCCAGTGCTGGGATTACAGGAGTTTGTCATCAAAGCTGGTTCAGGAGTATCTAAACTGGCTGGTAATATACTTTCCTAGCTTTCCTTTGTCTGAGCCACCAGTGTCCGGCTCTGAGGGATATTTTTTTCTGAATATATAATTTTAGCACTGGTGGCTCATGCCTATAATCCTAGCTAGTCAGGAGGCTGAGATCTGAGGATGGTAGTTCAAAGCCAGCCAGGGCAGAAAAGTCCCCAATTATCTCCAATTAACCACTCAAAAACTGGAAGTAGTACTTTGGCTCAAAGTGGCAAAGCACTAGCCTTGAGCCAAATAGCTCAAGGACAACACCCAGGACCCAAGTTTAAGCCCCACAACCAGATTTTTAACAGTTTTTATCATTTGAAAACTGTTGCTCCATTTCCTCCTGCCCCCAAGGTTTCCCATAAGGAATCTACCAGTACCTGGAGCTGTTTTTCCCTGTAGGGAAGGTGGCCTTCCTCTTTTTGCTTTCAAAAGTTTTTGTTTTGTCTTCAGTTTTCAAAGGTTTGGGTCCTATTGGGACTTGCTCAATTTTATGAACAAAATTTTTGTTTTCAGCCCTCATTTCTTTGAAATCTGTATCTCCTTTCATTCTGGCATGTTTATGACAAGTGAGCTACTTCCCAATGTCCCTCTGGCTTATCGTACTTTTCTTTCTGAAGTCTACTTTCTTCCTGTTGTTTTCTTT